AGTATCTTAAATGATATAATTTTAAACGATTTTTCTGTTATAGTTTGTCAAATATAAAATTTTATAGGCATGTTATTGATATAATAGAACAACTTGAATTTTATTAAATATCGTGATCAATCATATTCATAAATTATCAAAAATTTTCATACTGATTTATTAAAAGTTTAACTGACATTCATATTATCTATTTTTTTCGAAACATAATTGTGGTATAGGGGTAGATGTATTCAATGACAATTTTAGCTTATTGTTGTTTTAAATTAAAATTACATGTTTAAACATTTCTTTCAAAAATAAGCAATATAGAAGGAAGTGTATATAGAAGATGTGAATGACTTGAGCTATATTAAAAAAATTTAATTGTATTATTTTAATTTGCTTTCTTTAGTGACTCTTTCATGTTTTTTGGATTATAAACTATTAATGATAGGAAAATGAATAATATAAAATATAATTTCACTGCCTGATCATGCGTTTTTGCCTTGTTTTATTTTAAGCTCGGATCAAATCGTGACAAAAGTCTTATCACAGAGTTAAGGTTTAGAATTAATTAATGCAATATTGATTAAAGATCCAATAGGATAATTACAAGAAAATTAATAATAAAAATTTGAATGTTTAAGTTAACTCTAATTAAATAAATTTTTCTAATTAGTGCAAATATATGCACCCAATATTATAGAATAGGAAAGTCCTGTTCGAAATGAAGATGTGTCACTTACTATAAATGTGAGCACAAATGTTTTGACCCAGATGATGACTATGGTGATAGCTGATTCAGGAGTCCAGACCACAACTTGGTGGGAGTGATATAATTTATTGGGATAAATATTTAAAGATATTTTAAGATCTATGTCCGCTTTTATTCAAGGGAACTGAAGATCTTATTGAACCAAAAAATTAACTGACGTGAAAAGAAGAGATTCTAGATAACATGACTTGTTCAGATGAAAGAAGAGTACCATTGACACTTTTTGTTGGATGGAGAAGATGAAAGGTAGTGGTGTGGGCAGAGTCGGGACATACCCAACATGATGGTAAGTTGGAGGATTTTGTGGAGTTGTTAGATAGTGGTTTGTATCCCTATCCGCTTGAAGATTGATACATGAAAAATTCATCAAGTTGGTGTAGGGAGAGATTTTAATCATGCAGTATGAAACTAAGTTCACTACATTATCAAGATATGCAGCACGGTTAATAGCTGCTATAAAGGAGAAGTGTTACAAGTTTATTTCAAGGTTAAATGATTCGATCAGACAACCATTGATGCCTTTGGGGATCGATGAATAATTTGTATTAATAGAGTGAGCTAGAAAAGTAAAAATTGATTATGAGCTTACTTAGAAACTTAATGAGATACGCAAGAGGAAAATCATGGATGAAGGACAGTAGGTGGTTCAATTAGAGGGATCAATGGAAAGAAGCATAGGTTCAGCTTAGTTTGATTCTGTAATGGCATGACTCACAGTAACATAGCCTCATGTGCCAAGTGCATGTGATATCAGACTTAATCCAAGTCACAAAGAAAATCAAAATTGAAAAGGTTTACACACAAAACAATTGAAAATAGGGAATTAATTACACAAACACAAAAAACATCATAGGAAGAGGGAGAAGGTTGGCGGCAGCAAGGTGGAGGTAGATGTGCAGCGGGAGAGCAAGGAGGGGAGGTTAAGGAGGGGCGACAATAGGCCGGTTGGTTGTGCGGAGGGCAGTAGTACATCAAGCAGCAAGGTGGAGGTAGATGTGCAGCGGGAGAGCAGGGAGGGGAGGTAAGGAGGGGCGACAATAGGCCGGTTGGTTGTGGGGAGGGCAGTAGTACATCAGGAAAGATTAGGAGAAATGATAGTGGCAGATAAGGATGTTGGGGGGGAGGGATTTTTGGCGACTAGTCTGGAAGGGAAAGGGGATGCGACAGTAGTGGATAGGGCTATGCGGGAAGGTGTAACATGTCTAAAAGGAAAAAAAGGATTACGATAGCTAGCAGGATGACTGGATGGGTTGGGCGGTAGTTATTAGGAAGATAACAGGTTGGGTAGGTTAAATACATCTGTAGGATCGAGCTACAATCAAAGAACCACTCAAAAAGGTAACTACCTCAGACGAGTTAGAGCCAAAGCATCTTTTTGCCTTTGCATACATTTCTAGAATAGGACAGTAGGTGGTTCAATTAGAGGGATCAATGGAAAGAAGCATAGGTTCAGCTTAGTTTGATTCTGTAATGGCATGACTCACAGTAACATAGCCTCATGTGCCAAGTGCATGTGATATCAGACTTAATCCAAATCACAAAGAAAATCAAAATTTAAAAGGTTTACACACAAAACAATTGAAAATAGGGAATTAATTACACAAACACAAAAAACATCATAGGAAGAGGGAGAAGGTTGGCGGCAGCAAGGTGGAGGTAGATGTGCAGCGGGAGAGCAAGGAGGGGAGGGTAAGGAGGGGCGACAATAGGCCGGTTGGTTGTGCGGAGGGCAGTAGTACATCAAGAAAGATTAGGAGAAATGATAGTGGCAGATAAGGATGTTGGGGGGGAGGGATTTTTGGCGACTAGTCTGGAAGGGAAAGGGGATGCGACAGTAGTGGATAGGGCTATGCGGGAAGGTGTAACATGTCTAAAAGGAAAAAAAGGATTACGATAGCTAGCAGGATGACTGGATGGGTTGGGCGGTAGTTAGTAGGAAGATAACAGGTTGGGTAGGTTAAATACATCTGTAGGATCGAACTACAATCAAAGAACCACTCAAAAAGGTAAATACCTCAGACGAGTTAGAGCCAAAACATCTTTTTGCCTTTGCATACATTTCTAGAATGAAATAAAACAACTACCTACGGTAAGTTGGACAAAAATTTGAAAACAAGCTATTCCCTTGACACGATATAAATAATATATAAATATACTAGGTAAAATAGGTGGGGCCCACCGACTTGGAAGGCAACACCAAATCCTAGAAGGATTAACTGACCCTCCTAACCCCTTCCTGAATCGACTGAACCGGTTCAGAAGGATAGCCCCGTGTCAAAATATGATAGATAACATGAAGGTGAATGTTTGATGGGCTCTCATATAGGCGACTGGTGTTGTCAGCTTGGTGACATATCTAGAAACTATCATTCTCTTGGCCAAAAAACATCGGAATAGCATAAATTTGGTGGAGCTCCTACATAGAAGACTGTAGGTGGGTAGAGAGGGATAGAGTCTCCAATTTTAGCTCCTACTCAAGGTTTATCAAGATAGCCATTTCGTCTCGAGTTTATGCCCTTACAGATAGAGAGCCTGAAGAACCTGCTTTTGATACTAATGCTAATATGGGCCGTTGAGTGTTATGTTTTTTTGCACATGATTTGGATGTCATTCCAATGGATTTATTTTTCAGAGGGTGTTTTTTTTTAAGTTATTTATTTTTGCTTTAGATTTGATGTTATCTTTATTATCTTGTTTCACATGACGGGGGAAAATACTTGAGTTATCTTGTAGTAGACCATTATTGTATTTCATCCACTTTTTATCTCATTGAATGAGATTTAAATTTCCTTATGAAAATTTATGGATAATTTTTTTTTCCTGCTTAATGAAATGTGATTTGAGGCTTGAGGTATGAATCATGTTCATATATTTTAAATTTCTACCTCTTGTTAGCAAACCTCAGTACCACCCCTCCTGCTTGTCGCAAACCTCAGTACCACCCCTCCTGCTTGCCGCAAACTTGCCTGCTCCCTTCCAGCCACCGTAAGATTTCTCCCCAGACCTCAACTGCAGCCTTAATTAATTAGCCACCACTAATTCTGTTGCCGCCACCCTTTGCCTACCTTACAGTCCTGCTTGCCGCAAACTTGCCTGCTCCCTTCCAGCTACCGTAAGATCCCTCCCCAGACCTCAACTGCGGCCTTAATTAATTAGCCACCACTAATACTGTTGCCGCGACCCTTTGCCCACCTTACAACCGCATCCTCCCCTCTTTTCTGATCCATCTGTTGGCTAGGCACCACCTTGACCTGCATCCTACCCGTTGGCCAGCCACCCTCCACCCCCTTGTACGCACCTTTGGGTGTGGTGTGTGTTTTTTTCGTTGTTACTTCTGTTTTAAGAACATTATTATTGTAGTTCCTCATATTTTGCAATAATAATTTTGTCGTTTACTGTGTTTTGAGTTAACTCCGGTATCAACTTGTACATTGCTTCTTGGAAATATTTGTAATAAAGGGCAACACAAGAAATAATCTGTAATCAGATATACTTGTCTTATGTACCATTCTAACCTCAGTAACTAGCTGCAAGGGGCTAATTAATTATATGGAAACTTTGTAACTCCAGGCTCTGGAACAATATGCTTGCGTTCCATGTTTTTTAACTAAGAAAATGTAGTATGTAATGTTCTAAACAATTTGTGCTTATTTCTGATAAAACCTGAATTAAATAGGTGATATAGCAAATCTCGTTCAATCTAATTATCAGATATAGCAGATCTCGATCAGTTGGTCATTGAGATGTAAATCCAAATCCCAGTCAGTTATAGTATGTAAAGCTGGCCTCTGTTGGTTTTTGCATTTATGCACATCATGCAGTTTATTAAAACCCTTTTGTGCACAGTAGCTAAATTCTGTTCTGTAAATTTAATGATCAATTACCTTATGCTGTAATCATAGATCAAATGGCTAATTTATTGTAAAACATTTTGTCATCGTAGGGTTTGGGATGGGTTTTGAATTCTCTATGATCCTGGATATGAGAAATGCAGTTTTTAGATTACAGCATCTAATCTCTAGGAAACCCACAAACTACCTGTTCCACAAGCCCCAGTCTTTTAATAAAAGTAGATCTCGTGCTTTTGTAAAATTAAACTTCAATACTTTAGTATCAGCTTCATGACATGGAACTGAATGTTTCTTGAATTGGCTTCTTGTTTTTCAAGTTCTCATCGGTTCTATTACTTTTCCAACTTAAGCTAATTTGAGTCATTTAATAATTTTTATGTTTATATGACATCCAGGCTTGGGTTGAAACTGTTCATGGAGAAACTACTTGTGGCTCAAGAATTGTGGGGAGCTTTAGTGGTAGTTTTCTTGATTCAAGCTTCACCCGTGCAAGTTCCCCTGATAACAGGCTTGAATCAACATATTTGTATATACAAATGGAATATTGTCCTAGGTATGCATCCTTTGATGTTTTTGAGTATTTTATATAAATTGTTACAAGATGGTTTACACTAATTAACAACTAAGAATATGCAAATATATTTTTATTTTTAGATCAAATTGTTACTATACATCTATAGGAAGTAATATTTCATGCCAACAGTACCACTGATGGATTTCTTGCGTGCGGAATAACATTCAATATGGCATCAACATGTTTGCAATTTTTGCGGACATTGAGGGGAAGTTTTATGGTTAAATTGCCAGCTCTTTGACATTTTTATTTTCTTAATCCCATTGTAATGTTCTCTTTTGCAATGTTTCAAAGAGGTCATTACATCAAGGTTCCAGCACTTAATTTATTCTTGCAAAACATCGAAAAATAGAAATTGGACCATTCAAATATGATGGTACTTGGATGAAAATATTAACTAGCCCTTGCAACTAGATCTAAAAAAACAAAGAATGTGCTTATTTGATGCTTCTATCAAATATGAAAGAAATGCCTTTAACTTCAATAAACTTTATGCAAGGGATCTGATCAATTTAAAATTTTTAGAAAATTTGAACCCTATGCATTTTTTTTTATTGAATTATCAGTAAGATATGCATATAAGTTTTATAATTAATATTGAAGATATACTAATATTCTATGGAAATATTAAACCTTTTGTAGATGGACATAGCTACGGAATATATGTGGACATTTAGCCATCATCTTAGAAGTGGAAAACATATTGACATATGAAGCACCGACTGATAAGACTGGAGGATACAGTTCCTTAAGATAAAATGATAAGCCACTTATTGATGCTATACTGCTTACTAGATTTCATTTGGAGATGATGACATCTATCTTGCTAAAGATTTACTTGTACTTCAACTTATCAAAGGATAGTTTTCCAATGCACGTGTGAATCCAAAAGTTTTAATTAGTTTGTCTTTCCTTCGTACTTCTCTCGAGTTAAAGAGGGAATCTAAAGAAGTTAGATCAATAAGACAATTGGATCAATCATAAGGATCATGAAGATCTAATTTATTTAGAAGTTATTTTTTCCTTTTATTGTAAATTAATTTTTCTTGTAATACCATAGTTATGTTTTATTTTTATGAACTTAATATGGGAGAAATGAAAATTTAAATTTTATTGGAATTTACATTTTTAAATTCTGTGGGAAGGTTATATATAATAATGAAAGGAATAATTATTTGCATGATTAAGCATTATATTAAATTTTTCTATAACTTTTAGGGTTTTCCTAAGAGATTAAGGGCAACTGACTGAAGATAACATTGCTTTCTTCATTCAAACTTTGGGGCCACCCTCTTCTCTCCCTCTCTCTCTAAGATAACATTGCTTTCTTCATTCAAACTTTGGGGCCTCTTCTCTCCCTCTCTCTCTCTATATATCTTTTAAAGCCAAATAAATTAACTAAATAATGATATGAGTACATCAAAAGCATTTAAAGGGAAATGCAAAAACGAAGAGAAAAGTATAGCCAAATTAAAAAAAAAAACATGCAAGAATTTCATCTGAACCATCTAGTAACTAGATGCCTAGTAAAGATATGAGAGTGATAATAATTTTTTTTGTTTCTGCCTACTATAATATAAACATTATGAAATTTTTATCCACTAATGAGTCGATACTAGGAATAGTTGAACCTGAATTAGAACTATTTTATGATAAATATTCATCATTTTGTTAAACAAAATGAAAATGTGGAGTCATTTCAAAAATTTGCGTAAGATTGTTAGTGATAATTTCAACCGTGAATGATATAATCACACTAAGAGGCCAGGAAATGCAAGACTATCAACCACTTTTTGTTGATGATGAGGTGAACCGAGATTCAAATTTTGAGACAAATACGGGCAAAAAAAGGGTGCACTTTCATCGAAGGGTCCTTATGTGTAATGTTATACAAATTAAATTAAGGATTTGTGAACTTGGGATGAGCTTTGAAACATTGAAAGAATTAATGTTTAAAAATCTACCTAAAGGAGTAGTATGATGCATGTTTTCAAAATTTATTATTTGTGAATGTCCAAATAACGAAGATAAATCCACTCCTTGTGAAATTGTTTAGTAACATTCAATTTTACTAATACTCTAGAGGGCTTATAAAATGAGCTATTATAGTACCCACCTATAAAGATTTTTTAAGGATTGAAGTTATAGAGAATAATGTAGATTGGTTGAAATAGTCCAACACGAAGTCATGAAAAAGAGATTCAAATTGGAGTGATTGGAGGCTCCATGGAGTAATCAAAATGAAGCGGCCATTTTAACTTGCCTATTATAAACTTTTTAAAATAGTAGGGTAATGTTAAGGATAAGTGGATAACCTTTTATAATAAATTTTTAATGGAGTGTTATGATGACATATTGAGGACCAATGCGCCTAGCATAATAGTCATCTAATAGCTTTAGATCCAACCTGTATTGCGAATTAACTTCATGCAAGGACAATCTTTTGAGAATTTGGCAGTAAATGAAAGGTTGAAGTACTTGCAAGTATTGAAGTAATGAAGCATCCTTAATAGAAAAAAGTAGAGTAAGCTTGACATGAAAAATTAAAGGCTATGTATATTGAATATTTTTAAAAGTATAGTGAATGAAAGAATGAATGAGAATTGTTAATCAGGGAGAAGTATTTGCAACATTTGAACCATTAAACAACATTTTTGAGGCGGTCAGGGAGAAGTATTTGCAACATTTGAACCATTAAAAAACATTTCTGAAGGAGCGTGGAGGTTGAGGAGGCGACATCGGGAAATTAGTATGAGCAACCACCAAAGCATTTTGGGCTGCCATGTAAGGAGGTAACCACGAGGTGGGTGTGTGGGAACCTAGGTCTTAGGTGAATTTGGCATGTGAGTTGAGATATAATGGGCTTTGAACAATTTAATATCTGCTACTAGAGATCAAAGGAAGCAAGCATGCCTCTTTTCTCTTTTTTTGTTCTCTTTTCCCTTTTTGCATTAGGGCTTTTATTTGTACTTTTTTAGTTGAATTGATGAATAAAAAGATGGTTGTTGATTGAAAAAAAATTGATGGTTTTGCCCAAAGAATTGTAGGCTTTGTTGTAAACAAATTAAATCGAGGATTTGATGGTCATTTACACTATTTTTTTGTGGAGTGATATACTTATTTTGTTTTTACAAATTTTTTTTAGCCATAACCCATCCACCCAGTTCAAATAACTTAACTAAAGATGGTGGCCAAAATTGGATCCTAATTGATCAAGTCTAAATATAAAATCTCAAAAAACTATCGATAAACAACAAAGGCCCAAAAGAAAAAAGGCTCATGGCTAGATATATTAGAGTATCCCATGTGTTTTCAAGCACTAGAGTTGTCCACATGAAAAACGTAAAGTCAAATCTAGAAAAGGATGATCTTTCCTTTGCTTGGTCGACATTTTACATGAGAATTTTCTTAGATTCAATTAGAGAAAACTAAGGCCATTGCTTCTACACCTTTGTTAACATCATTTGAAGCTTCTTTATGCAAAAGAGCACATCGCTTAAAATCAAATCCTAAGTTCATCAATGGAACATCAAAAATAAATAAAAAATCTCAATCCCCTTATAATGGCAAAAATACTCGCTTGAATGATTAAACTTGAAAAATTATTTTGCGCATATGCTTTTAATAAATATGCCAGTGCCTCAAATTGAGATCATAAATACTACACATAATAAAAATAAGATAAATAGAATTTCCTCGCCTAAAAAAACGTGCAACTACTTTATAATGATGTTGTTTTTAAATAATGTGTAGACTCTTTCAAAATCATAGTCATCGAGATATGCACACTCTGGAGTTGGTCGTTCTATATACACAGTTTGGTCATAAGTATCTTATTTTGAGTCTAATCTTCTATTTCACAATGATTGGATTAAATAGGAGTTATGCTCTTTGATATATATCACCCAAAAAAAATTAAAATTATCATTTCCAAATAATGATTTTAAATTCATGCTCTTGGTCTAATCAAGTGACTCATGTATATCTATGCACTAGAAATTTGATACTTAATTGTGAAGCTCACTAATAAAATTTGATTTGCATTTGCATGAGGCCTTAAATTTTTTCAACATTAAAATTTATTTCAAAGAAGATTCTTAGGGTCACTTTGCTTTTAAAGCTTCTTGTAAGTTCAAATTTTGGATAGACTCAATCTTCTACCTATGGGATTGAGTTGATATGGTCTGTAATATAATAAATATTTAATTTTACTAAAATGTTATGCAAGTAGTGAATTCGTTCATTTGCAAATAAGTGGGCAGAGTTGATAGATTTTAAATAAGTGTCATAGTTCAGATACTCATATGGTGGGCACGTTATATTAATATATTATAATTCTAACATTTATTTTGAAAACCAAGCTCTCAAATTTCAAACACAAATACCTCAAGAAACCATATACTTATGATGGTGTTGGTATTACACATCTCAATTAGAGGGATCCAACCTAAGAAAATGAAACTCTTAATTAAAAAAAAAAAAACTGCTAACATCAGTTCTCGATGATTGCCACGTTGACAAAAAAAAATTGATTAGAGGGGACAATTTTACTAAAAATCTCTTTAAACCTCCGTGAAAAGATAAAAATCTTTAATTCTTAAAAACAATTAAAAGAAACTACTCACAAATCTTTTGCTCTAGTATGTTGACTGTAATAATTTAAGATAACTTAAGCTCAAAAAGAGTTAATATCATATCAACAATATATTTATGATCACTCTCAAAAATATCATACTGGTTTGAAATTGACCTATAGATACCATTCTAGGGCTTTTATAAGGCATTTGGGAAGTGGATTTTGCGAGGAAGTGGTTGTGGAATAGTAAGGGAACGAAGTATGGGATTTTGCTTGCGTTTGGTTGGAGATGGGTGTCGATTGATAACTATCCTGACTGAAATTAACGAAGAAAACTCTAAATCAGTGATGTTAAGGCGGCGAGGAGCTTCAACCATCTGTTCTTAGGCAAGATACAGACACA